GCAGGCGTAGTATGATTTTTTTTTATATAACATACTGGTATCAGATCAGTACTCGGTATCAGCCGATACCCACAGCACAAGTATCGGAATCGGTATCGGGAGGGAAAAAATTGTATCAGAACATCTCTACTGAATACACATATGTATATAATTACCTGAAAATAAGAATCGTGTCTTTTCATTACCTTAGACTAAGACATTTTTATCGTCTCTGCCTCAGGTGGCCTTAAATGCTGGCCACCACGTTGAACCGCCATGTTTCTACAGTAACCCAGAACAGACAAACCAAAAAATGGACTGTTCACATTTTTCTTGCCTTTTTAGCATTCCCCATAGTTTGTTTCTCATGCTTGTAAAGGAAGGGTAAAGTGAGTGAGTTGCAATCTTTGACTACACTGCTAGATGCCACTTAGTCCTACACATTGGAACTGTAAACTTCAAGCTTGATTATCCGATGAATCAATTAATGGATTTCCAAAAAACGGACAACTTTGATAATTAAATGATCTTTTAAAAAGGTCCAGTGTGTAAGATTAAGGGGCATCTAGCCTTTCCAAGCACAAGGGAGAAGCTACAGTGGGCATTAAATGCACAAATAATGCGAATGGCCTTATGTAGAGCCAGTGTTTTATTTGTACATTCTGGGCTACTGTAGAAACATGGCGGGTTAACATCTGTAGCTGAAAATGGCTAAGGTAACAGAAACACAACGATTCTAATTTTCGGGTGATTATACACTAAAAACATACCTATGAATATTATATTCATTTTCTGACAATAGAGACTCCTAAATGTAACACACTGGATCTTTAAATCAAGGAAGGTGTTTTATGTTATTGTGAATTGAATACTGTTCAGTTTTGGACTGTTCATTGAAAAAAATGGGCATTTCTCTTTTTATTCTAACATTTTACTGAAAATAATTGTCAGAATGACCAGAAGGGGAAATAATTCTCATTTACAGCCTTTATTCTAACCACAGGATAAATATTAAATATATGCTAGCCTTGTGAATAAGGTGTAGAAACCAGAAGAACCAAAAGTCATCTAATTAAATGAATCTCAGGCTTGCACTGCAGCTCCGCTGTGGGAGGACGCCGAAATTGCATCAAGCAAATCTGGGGAATGGAACCCATATGGCTAATGGATGTGGGTTATGATATTGTTTTGGAAGGCCCTGCGAAGCACCGTCCTTCAGATGCTACAGCACCACAGACGTCCACAAATCATTACTGTGGGATAATAGAACACACTTGATCAGACCCAGGAGGAAGGCATGCCAGGGAAAAGAAGAACAAGACCAGTCCGTGAATAATGATTACGGTCACCTTAGTCATATATCACCATCCTGAGAGAAGATGACTTGGATAAGGGTGTCAGCGTGGAGGGCTGACAAATTTCTGCACCATCCTCAGATTTCAATCCCACAGAGCTGCCCTCCTCCTTCTCCTCCTCTTTCTCTCTGTGTTTGCCTCCTCCTGCCTCTATAATTACTTGCTTAGCCAGAAATTAATCCATGTTGTAGCTACCCAAACACGTCTTTGTAAATTGGACGTGGCAGGTTGACCATCATGAATCTGGAGCGATGACACAGCACACTGCAGGGCCTCACTTCCACTGAAGTGCCTTGCTCGCTAAGGTTATCGGCAACTGGTACAACCAAGGTCATGCCGGTACAGTAGGTAGGGGCTTTGCCTGAATATTGGATGCATTCAATTAGCACTTCTGCAAAGGCGAACGTGAGTGAAATGTAATAACTGGCTCGGGCGTAAGGGAGCGGCCGGATTGACGCGCTGGAAAGGCTGCTGTAAAATCTGACTGATAGACTAACTCCCTCCTGCTCTCTTTTCTTTTCACAGTTTTACTGGAGTTGGCAGCCTCCCGGGCCGGGCTCAGGCTGTTTTCGTCTGCACTCCATTTGTTACTCCCAGAAGGTCACCGGAGAGCGTTTTCAGGCCCTTCCTCAATGTCCGCTGCCGCCCAGCCCGCAGGAGTCATTAAGATGAATAGGACTGTCCTGGCTGCTGCTAACTGTGCAGCATCATGACCTCTGATAGGTCGAATTAGACCTTCAGGAAGACATCTAGTCTTATCCTTTGATGAGATCCACGCTCCATACTGTGATACAATGTGGGCTAATGTGGAAGTTGCCTTTAGTTTGAGGTGAAAGAATACTGAGGGGACTAAATATGGATTGTGTTCTCTGACATAGATGTCAGAAGCAGGCATTACTACTATTGAGGACACTGGGGTCATGACCTTAGTATGTTTTCTGTGAATAAACTTTAATATAATCTAAACTTTTCATATATGCGCAGACAATGTGTTTTGAACAGATAGGTAGTTTTGAGTTCAATACGAAGACACACTACTCACCATATTAGTTGTGCAGTGAGTAATAAGGTTGACTATTTTTAACTCATGATCAGGGGCGGATCTAGAGGGGTGGCAGCAGCTTCCAGCCCTAAAAAAAAAAACCTTGCTACCCCAGCTGCCCCAGTTTGGTGTCAAATGTTGTTAAATTGAATGCATTAATTGCTCACCTGGTAGAGCTGGCTCCCCATGTAAAAAGGCTGAGTCCTCGCTGCAGTGGCCATGGCTTCAAATCCAACCTGTGGCCCTTTGCTGCGTATCATCCCCTCTCTTTCCCTCCCCCTTTTCCGACTATCCTCAACTGTCCTATCTAATAAAATGAAAAAGCCCCCCCAAAAATGTATGCATTAATTACAAAAAATAATGTGATAAAAATGGAAATCCACACATATATCAACATATATATATAAATCTGTTATGGCCACATCTTGAAGATTTGGAAATAAAACAGTTTATTGATTTCTAATGTCACCTTTAGATATTTATTTCCAGTGCTTTGCCAATGTTCCACAATAATGTAATGTTTGTGAAAGCAAATATTTTCATTTGAATAGCAAATATTGATATATGGCATTTATTTCTGTCTTCCCTTCAAGTCTCCATGCTGTCCTATGAATGTTTCTCTTGATTTGTTGGAACTGATTTCCACCAGGACCATTAACAGTTACACAGCTTACATTTAGGCTCAGTTTAGACCTACTTGTTTCTTTTTTTGAATGTTGGGTTCAAATACAAATCATGTTTTATCATTTGATCAATGCAAGTACATAGTACATACATGATTTTGTTAGCAGCTAAACCTTAAGATATATGCATGAGGAGTATGAAAAATTAAATGCACAAAATGTATTTACAGCAGTTGTCACATTTACACACACCTACAGCAGAGGCTGCCATGCAAGGTGCGCTTCATATGCAAAGCGCTCACGACACCCAAACACATTTACACAGACAATCTGGAGCAATTTGAGGTTCAGTGCCCAAAGGACACTTTGACTGGGCTGGGGGAGCCAGGAATCTGACCAGAGACCCTTGGATTACTAAATCTACCACCAGAGCCAGCAGACTAGACCATTTCTGACAACGTCCGGACAGTACAATCTAAATACAGATACATATAGTGATACCTTTCTGAAATACAGATATAGATAATAGCTACACCACCAATCTCAAACTTGCATTTAAACCTGCGTAGATCTCAGCTGCAGAAAAAGATCTAAGACCACAAACAGACAGACATAAAACAACTCACAGCCTCTGTATTTCTGGCCTCATCTCTAAACAGATTTAAAAACGGATATGAAGTAGGGCTGTGGATTGGCGAGAGTCTGGCGATACGATACGTATCACAATATAGGGGGTTACCATTACGATATATATTGCAATACAGTCCCTGCGTAACATCACAGCCCTCAGTTTATGTTTACAACACATCTAGCGGTTGCAGGTTTTAACTCAAAAATGTATGGTTTTTTTGAGTGATCAATACCATATTACAAAACAAAACATCACAAGACAAATTTATACCTGCTACCTCCATGATTAAGATTTGGTTTAGGAAACTTAAAGTACTCAATTAAGGTTAGGGGAAGATCATGATCATCTAAAGGAAGATTACAAAAGGAAAATTATTTAACAGCTAGAAACCGCTGTTACTTAAGTCTTCATTCCCTGTTGATTCTATTTATTCAAAGCACTCTCAGAGCTGCTGGGTAGTGTGGAGTCCAGTGGTGCGAGCCGGGCATGTGCAAGTCTGAAATGTGGTAGAATACAGTTTCTTGAGGAGCTTACATAAGCAGCAGTATCATGCTGTACGTATAAAATCACTATAATATCCAACACACCTAATATCGCTCATTACTCTGCACTTTTGCACTCCCGTCTTTTCTATCTTCATTCACGCCGGCTGCTCCCACGGAGCTTTAGGCACTTAACTAATAACAAAAGCCCTATTAGAGCGTTAATGCAGAGTAATGATGACAAGCAGCAGCACTGAAAATAGCACCTGTCGCCTGAGACAATAATAAATCACCCGAGACAAGACTGATGGTGCACCAACGCAAACAAGAGGGAAAGGTAAGAAATGTGTTAACTGGACCACTGAACTAATCCTCTCCACCTCCTGAGACTCAGGCAGAGCCTGTGAGAAGTGTTTGAATGGGAAAAGACTGAAATTAAACTCTGAGTGAGCCAGAGAAAGAATTCAACAATATTTCAGTTTGCTCTGTAGGCTCAGTGATTCTCCTGCCTGTGAAAAATACATTATGTTTGATCATTGAGCTGCTGCAGGAGAGCAGTCCTGGGGGGGGGGGCTCAAGTTTGTTGCACTGTAGCTGCAACTTGATCATTCATGTGAAAGAATAAGAACTTAAGAGACGTTGGCATCCTGATAAGGCAGAGAAACTGATAACACAGCAGAATGTAGAGTGGCAGCAGGAATGTTTGATGTTACAGTCAAAGAACACACCACAAAGGTCACTATAAACTCATTATGTATATATGATTATGTTTAACCCTGTGCCTTCTGCATGCACTGCCTGTTTTGCTCGGACTAATCAAAACTGATTAAAAATGACAGCTTCTGTTTACCTGTTCGGCATCCTCCTCTGGACACGGCGGCTACCCTTCCAGCCAGACGCTCAGGAGGAACAACCGGGAGGTCAGAAAGCCTCCCCACATCTCCCCCGGAGGCGTGCGGGCTCGAGTTTAGACAAGTGGCGGCGGCAGGTGTGGAGGAGGGCTCCGATTCGGATGATCAGCTCCAGCGTGCGCGCTCGGACCGCCAGGCGCGCAAAGACCGCGCAGGAAAAGAAGCACTCAATGGGCGTCCCGTCGCGAAGGCACTGGTACCTTTTCTGTCAGGAAGCCTTTCTGAAGTCCACTACCACCCGAGCGCCCTCCTCCAGCACTGAGGGCGCATGGAGCTCGCTGTGGCGCTGCTGACTGGAGGAAGGCTGCGCGGGGGAGCTGGGGCGTGTTCCTCAAGGAGGAGGAGGCGGAGGAGGAGGAAGGAGGGAGGGCGGATGCGCAAAGATGCTCATCTCGGTGTGAGAGCTTAAAAAGTTTCTAAAAGTACATCAGGGATGACAGCAGCAGTGTCCAGATTTCCAGCAATATTCCAGAGTTTAGTGGTGAGCAAATGATTTAAATTATTGGAGGACAGGTTCCATATTTTTTATTCATTTTTATTATAGAGAGTATGTGTCTGAAAAGGATTGCATCCTTACTTATATTGTACCCCTGTTTAACAATGTACAAAAACATAATTTATTTGTATTTGTATTAGTATATATCAAAATCCAATCATTTTGTCTTTCTGTCAAACAAATTGTGACTGCTTACATAAGCATGACCTAACCAAGTTCAACCAATAATATCATGACCTTCACCCTCAATCAATGTTCAACGTTTAGGACACAGAGTGAAGATTCATTAGTTAGCTAGCTAGCAACAGTATGCTAGCTACCAGAGTGTGTTCCGGAGCCCGCTGATTACTCTACACACACAACTTTATCAGTGATTTGGGTGAAACTGGATCATATTTTATGGTATCTTATGGTATTGAATGAATATCTTTCTCAGTATGCTAGAATGACACATCATAAGAAACAAGACAAATTCTAAATATTTAACAGAATATATCAAACTACAAGCTTTAAAGAACACACCCATAAAAGGTACAATTAACCCCAAAATCAAACACATATTTTTCCTCTTACCTCTACTGCTATTTATTTACCTAGGTATATTCTCTCCAATATAATGGAACCAGATGGAACTCGGCTTGTGCTAGATGGATAAACAGCTCTACAGGTATTTCTGATTTTAGGGTGAACTGTTCTTTTAAAACAGGAGCTCCCAACCTTTTTGGCTTGTTACCCCTCATAACAAATCAATGCCTACTTGCATTGCTAAATGATTCCTTGTTTTGAATCATTTTTGAGGCCTGCAGAGCTAAAATGTTCCAGTAATTCACAAGGAAATGAAAAAGCAAAGATTAGAGGAAAGCCTGAAGAAATAAACATGATTTTTTGCAACAGAAGTTTGTTTTCTGCTTGCCTTAAAAAACAACTTTCTGACATTTATAGACTAACCTAATACCAGACTGACAAGCTGTTTCACTCTGCTCCTTTGCACCATGCCCTACAGTGAAGTCACAATGTACTGGAACACCTAGGCAAGCTAAGTTAAGTTAAACAACTGGAGATAAAGAAGTTTTTTTGCTGTTCTTAAAGCTGCATACATTTTTGGAGCCATATGAGGGCAGTGCAACAACCTGTAAACAACAACATGACCTTATAGAGTTAATAAGGCAAATCAGTTGCACTTTAAACATCCAGCAGACACGATCAAGCATTAATTTAGAGTTGACCTGGTGAATGCAAGACTAACAATCTCTCCGCTTTTAGCTCCGTTTTGGTCTCCGTCAACTCCTGAGAAAAATATGTAGCTCTAAATGCTAAGTCTTCCACTATGTACACCGGATAGTCGCTAGCTTTGTCAGTCTGCTGTTTGGTGCTGGGCACATAGGGTAGAGTGGGTTTATCAGATGATAATCAATGAAAAATTCCTGCGGCTGATGCTGATGAGAGCGGTGAGAGTGAACCAAGGCAGTCATAGCCCTGAAAAATAAGAAGCAATTAGCTAGCTGAACAATGCTAAAACACTCACAGCTGAGGGAATTTGTAGTGTCGGGTGATAATTCTCCAGACGTTTCTTATTATAAGTGACCCCTTGCATATTCCACACAGTCATTTGATCCATTGCTAATATAAAAATATTGATTGAGCAGCTTTAAGTTGCTCTTTATGAAATGGGAGAAGTATTTGCTGTATATTGTAGCAGCTTAAGTACATTATAGCTGAATACTGAAAACTTAGATTTGCCTGTATATCGCAGAGAGTTCCCATCTGTTTCTTTCTTTCAGCAACTAATTACAGAGCTGGGTTGTACGCAAGTGCAGGTGCATATTCATGCAGACACATTACTGTACGTTTCTGCACAATACATAAACACTATGCACACAAACTCCTGACCAAACAGATGTGTGTGTCTGTGTGTGTAGAGAGATTTGGCATTCCAGCTGATATACAGCCTGAGCGTGGAGTGAAATGGACTTTATGTCATATCAACAATATTTGAGCTCCCTCTCTGATTGCCTATATCCTCCCAAATAAGCCATCAGTCTGACACAGCACATTTCAGTTTGCTGGTAAGCAGCTCAATCTGCCTGCACAGGGGTCCTGCTGCTTCATCCCACACTCACTTTACAAAAGCTATTTGAGGAAGGCTGGTGTCTCGCGCGCCTGCTTTGGGCTGCCAGATGGTCCTGCGTAAGAACTTTGAATTATTCAGCCATCCCACAGCAGATTGAAGCTGTCATGCGTAAGACAACTTGGCTGGCCTCTTCCTGTGCCGGGGAACACCGGCGGACAGGCGCGTACAGCTACTGCAGAGGCGCCACCAGGTTATGCAACTCCTCATTCAAATTTCATTAATGCACAATTTAGGCCTGCACAGCTCACAATTTACTGCAGTGATGAAATGTTGTTTTTTTCCCACTTTTTCAGATCAGACTCGGAGTGTGTTATGCTTTCACAGAGAGGGATGAGAATCATAAATTATTCACCTGATCCGGCTTTTATGTGTGAATGCTGAGCTTACAGCAGCGCTGGCACATCTAGAAACAAGCAGTTAAGCGTTTTAATAGATACACAGTATCTGTTTGTGCCATTTTCTAATGCATCACATTAAGGCAGAGTGTGTCAGACACAATTATGGAAATGACTAAAGTTGGACAAGAACGTGTGAAAAGCCATAAACCAAAACATTGTCATAAATTTTCTGAAAGACATCATGTGGGTCCTTAGACATTTAATGTGCTACAATTACCATACTGGCCATTAGTGATATTAGAGTGAAGCTTTACTGATGGCAGGGATCATGATTGGAGCCATAATTTAGCAGGATAACTCCTGTCACTTTAACAGAGCCATTGACACTATGAATACACGCCATTACCAAATACTGCTGTATAATATATCACCACATTAGGGATGATACATGTTCCATATTTAACTTTCCCCTCATGTCTACCTCATTTGCCTGCAACTACAACCAGCCTCTCAAGGTTGAGATGATCTGACACGGATGTGGTCTCATCCCTATTTTTGTTTGCAGTCAAAGTGCGGGTGGGGGGTGGGGGGGCTAATCCCTTCAAAACCAGATGAAGAAATCCACTTCACATGAAGGGCGCCGTGTGTGTATACCTGAGTGTGTGTGGTGTAATCAGCCCATTAATCCTGCTGGGAGTTGGCGCTTTGATCTCTGGCTGAGTGGCTCTACAGCGTGGCTCCTGAGCTCACCTCCTCCGCTAAGAATCACTCAAAATTAGAGAGGAGACTTCTTATGTGAAATGGGTTAATAGCGCGTCTTCAGTCAAGAGGCCTGTCCCGCTCATACACACTGTGTAGACGTGAGGCTCATTCCAAACAGGGGGTCCAATTTAGGATGAGGGCCTCTTCACAATTATGTACTCAACAAAACAACCTATGTGAAAAAAAATCTTTAATAATTTAAAATCCTGACTAATTGCATGAGGTCTTTACTGCGAGTGTCTGCTAATTGCATCTGACTAATGTATACACACTGTATAGTATGGGTTCATTCCAAACAGCAAGTCTGAAACCTGCAGAATTAAAATTAAGTTAAAACAGCATTTATATATTTTTCAGCCACTTGATGCAAAACACACTGAGATATTATCACTTAAAAAAAGAAATCTACCAAATTTAGACATCAAAGTCTGTTAACAGGTGTTAGAGAGTAATACTACATAGTTGTAAGAAGCCTTTTGTGTCTCCAGACGGAACTGTGTGAAGTCTGATAAATGTCCTCAAGTGATGTCACTTGAGTCAGTGTTTAAAAATGAAAAAGACTTAAAGGTCCAGTGTGTAACATTTAGGAGGATCTATTGTCAGAAATGTGATATAATATCCATAGGTATGTTTTCATTAAGGTATAATCAGCTGAAAATAAAAATTGTTGTGTTTT